CAGTAGAAAGGCTGCAGAAAGAGTCAGGAGCCCAGAGGAGGGGGCAAAGGAGGTGAGGGGGTGGGGGCAGAAAGTGGAAATGAAAGCACACAACAGAACATTGCTAGAGAGCTGGAATGGAGGTGAAAGGAGACAATTTTAGAGAAAAAAAATTTCGGTCGCTACCCGGATTCGAACCCGGGACCTTTGAATGAGAGGCCAACACCTTAACCTCTAGGCCACGAGAGCCCCCCATTTACGGTGTTCGCAACTGCATAAGGCCATATGTGTCACGGCGTGGTGGAATCAGGCGCTCGTCAATTTTTCGGCATGTGGAGTTATTGGTATCATCATAAAGCCTGTTCATTTGCCTTCCTCTTGGGGGAAAAAATCCATCAATGTTGAATAGAATCGAAATATTTGCGATTGAAGGACGTTAGGGTTGCCTGGTTTTAGAAATAAAATTAGCGAGAAAATGGCCGCCAAATTAAATTTGGTAACTTCCATAAACAATTTACTTTTTTGTGCCTTTAATCGGTGTTTTTCAGGATAATCCTCCCAAAAATGTGTTTTCAAATGGACGCAAAAGGTGTTGAGCCAAAGAAAGAAAATTACGAAAACAATTGCCCATCGCCCAAAAAATGCCAATTTCTTCGATTTCATTATTTTGACGAGCGTCTGATTTCACAACGCTGCCTCACATATGAGCGTGCGGGACACACCAAACATTTTCAATAGGTAAATAATTTTGAATTTTGCCCGGATAACGGCCGAAGCCTACTCTTTTCGATTTTGGACCACCAAGGGATCTTTATTAACGTGCACAACTTGCACACGGGACCTCCGAGATTTTTCGCTCTTGTCCGAGAAGGATAGGTGTAGATCGTACCTACCATAAGATCAGGGGTGTGGCTGAAAGACTGTAGATCTGGTAAGAAGGAGCCAAGGAGAAGCAGTAGAAAGATTGCAGAAAGAGTTGGTGGGGGCAGAAAGTGGAGACGAAAGCAGGCGAGAGAACATTGTTAGAGAGCAGGAAAGAATGTGAAAGGAGAAAATTTTACAGAAGAAAATGTTCCGTCGAACCCGGGACCTATTGAATGAGAGGCCAACATCTTGACCTTGACCTCTTGGCCACGAGAGCCCCCTTCAGTACAGGGAAATGAACAAACCGAAGAGGGACAAAAAAACCCAACACCTCCCATCCCAGTAATTCTGAGTTCACAGAAGACACTTAACCTAATACATGTAACAATCAATTAGAACAACATTTGAACCACCGGATAATTTCTGTCAGTCACCGACTGAGGGCCCAAGCTCACCACAATAGAAAACGTGCCGTATAATGGGAACGTAAGGATTTGCCTTGCAAAATTCAGCTCATCAGGGGACACTGTCTATACCGGGCATTGCCTTTGTTCTTCTCGTTCACGAAAAGGCAAGGCAGCTGCACTCTTTTCGCCTCACGGCCCGTGGCGGCGATGAATAATAAAGACTCGGACTCTAACTCAATGACTCAGAGCAGTCCCTTTTCTGTTCTCCCCCCCCCCCCCCTCCCAAGTTTACCTACCACAACCGTCGACATAATTTAGACCTTTAGGTTCTGTAAGAGCTGCAACAGGTCATGAATAAGTGCCGAAGATTAAAGCAACCTTCCACAAAATGAAACAGATATATGTACTCACAAACATCAATCTGTCACTGGAAACGAGAAAAAGAGTACTGAAAAGTTACATCGAGCCAGTCCTAATACTAATATACGGGTGCAAAGCATGGACAATCAATAAACAGATGGAAAAAACAATTGTGGCGACAGAGTTGAGGTTCATAAGACGCATGCTGCGTATCCCATAGACAGCTAAAAAAAACAAATGAAGAAGTCTTGGTTGATGCAAATTGCAGAAGACAGCTTATGACGAATATACGAAAGCGACAGGCACATTTCTTCGGACACACAATGCGGAAAGAAGCACTGGAGAATATTGTAACAACAGGCAAGTTTGATGGAAAGAGAGACAGAGGCAGACAGAGGGAAAATATACTGGACAAGATGACAACATGGCTGGGAGCAGCAAGAACAACAGACTCCATTGCTGCAACGCAAGACAGAGTGAAGTGGAGGTCCATGATCGCCCACGCCAGTCGGCAAGGCACTGGATGATGATGGATGATACTACATGTATAACTACTACATTGTACTATGAGAAGGTAAAAACAAAAAGAAGGGGGAAAAGGAGAAAGGCAGACTATAGATGTTTGATAGGAAAGAAGGAGCAAACCACACCAGAACACTAGCCAACCACCCACCAATTTAGATCATCCTGAATGCAGGCTGCGTCAACCCTTCCTAATCTGGGCGGTGTGAGAATTCAACATCCCAACAGAAAGACTGAGATGCTCGATACATTTAACTTCCACACATGAGAATCGAACTCATGTATTGTCTTTCAAGTGTGACATTTAAGATCCTAACCATTACATCATAGACGCAGGTGTCATATAGCCAACAGGCAACAGGTAATGTGATTCGATATTCCCAAGCGGCAGGACTGGGTTTTAGTAACTGTTTTACAGCATTTGCAACACAATTAGGTCATAAAAGTATCGAAGATTAGAGGTGTTGCTAGAAAGTAAGAAATGCACAAAAGGAGGAAGAAAGGTAAGGACGATAGATGTTTGACAGAGAAAACTAGGAGCAAACAAAACCACAGCACTCGCCAACTGGGACATCCCACTGCGACAGGGCTGCATCTAGAGACACAGAGACAGGTCAAGATAAAGAGAGAAAAAAAGAATACATAAATAGATAACTTTTACACTTACACGTGTGCATGTAGGCTACTTATTAACTCCGTCACTTGAGTTTCAGAGAACCCAGAAAAATGAACGCGTGTTCAACTTTTGTAAGGTTAATCGTGCACATGTAAAGGTATTGTGACTGATAGCCCGTTTTATACCCAGTGCCCATTGGACGATTGGTTCAGTTCAGTTCAGTTTGGTAGGCGGGGCTAGCCAGATTGAGGGCGCAAAGCGACCATCGTGGCCTTTACGTTCTCTGACCGTCTAGGTCGTGGCACAAAGCGATCGCCTGACTCGCGGCCTCAAAGTCAAAGACGAACTTCGCTTTACCCAGTGCCCAAAATCGACCACGACTCTGCTGAAGCAAACTTCACGGTTTCATCCCTATTCCGTACGCCCTGGGGTTAGGCCTTCTCAGTTTCAGGCACCCACATCCCGCACGACTGGCCTCGGCATTGGAGGCCGAACACTTTCGCGGAGGGTCAATGCGAAAAGCGGCGATAGACTAGTGCGCTGGTGCGGGTGATGGAGCATTCTCGCGCTGTACTCACGTGACAGGCCTACAATGAACCTAACTTAAATTCAATGTATTTTTATTGTTGCTGCTTTGTTGTGAAAGTTTATCGGCTCTTAAAAGAAAGGAAGATCACACAAGTGACAGAGTGTATCAATTTGTCAACATGAAATTAAATTACGTTTACCACAAGAAAGACAGTGGCACATTGGTGGGGTAACTTTTGTTCTTCACTTGCAACATCGTTCTAATTCTACATGTTTCAACAAATATGAAAGAAAATTAATTTTATACACACACACACACAAATATATATATATATATATATATATATATATATATATATATATATATATATAAATGAATATTTATATTATATAAAGCATATCACTGAACACAATCCCTTACCTCTGAAAAAGTTACTTTTTTCTTCGCCTGTCCTTCATTCCACGAAGCACTTTGCTCCGCAAATCTTTTGATGAAAATATTTGCCAGCCGCATCAGCTTACGATAACAATATATCGCTGGAAAGTCCCACAAAATCGCCACTAATCTATTTCTGTAGTTTTTCAGTAGTTTCCGTTAAAAAAAACACCCCAACCCAACAAGTAGTAGTAGTAGTGTAGGCCAAACAATGTCTCTCTGGAAGAATACAGACGAAGTGCACAATTTCATCTAGGCATGTGATAACATCTCTAGTGAAGCCAGGATGCCTGATGTGCTTCAGTTTGTGAAGCTTCAAATGAAACCTCTTTCACGTGGTCATGGGTATGGTGAACAACCGTGAAATACATGGAAAATGCAAAAACAGGGCCATCTCAAGTTCTGCTGAGCAAAACAAATGTATTATAATAATCTTTACTCTTTGCAACATTGCCAATGGCTGTTAGCGTCATATCCATTGTTCGATAAAAATGAATCGGACTGAAAGACATCTCTTTAAATACATTAATTTCATCAATATCAGCAGCTCTAGAAGAAGCTGAATTTGTAGTTGCTCTCTTTTTTGGAGCTGGTGTGCCACAACATTAAGGTGGTACTTCTGGAAATATTGATGGAGGCTCTGTGGGCACCATAAATCTTCCAGCCCGTGCCAAAGGTACACAGGTGGGAAGTGCAGAGAGCAAACTCCCATATATGTTATATATTGTCTGTGACATCTTCTACGATTAATTTATTTGGAACATTTTTGATCCACTGTGCTTTTTTTCCTAATCTTTTGGAAATCTATAAAATTGTCATTATGCTATATATCCCTTTTGGCGGGTATAACCACTTCTACTGCCCCATCCCTTACACTTTCTTCCCATGTTCAAATGTTGCTCACACGGTTCTCTTTGAAACTTTCAATATTTCTCAAAAAATCATTTTGACAGGCTGCTATGCAAAGCGTATGGATCCAATTAACGAGTAAATTTCCTTTTGGAAAGTGGAGGCACAGAGTTCCCCACGTCGTGTGGACATGATAGTAAAACACGACGTATGGATAGGGTTAAGGAGGTGGGCCATGCTATAATTTATAAAGCAGATGATTTTATGACATATGGTCATACATTAGATTAGTTATAGTTATAACTTTCATAGGGCTGTTGCTGGAAATTTAAGTAATCTACACACAAAAATATAATTTTTGCCACCATGGGTTCTGACCAGAGATCACAATCTGAAAGATTGTGAGAGTTGGTAGTTTGTTTGTTTGAGTAAAGAGGAGCACATCAACACAATAATGGTCATTTAGTGCTGGGAAAAAGTAAGACAGACAGACAAAAACAACCGAGGGACAGCAAAGAAGTAGTCTACCAGTGGCACCCTCCAACCACCCAGAGTTAGTTGGAGTTGTTAGTTTAGCAAGTGTTTTACAGCATTTGCAACACATCAAGGTCATATAAGTGCCAAAGATTAGAGGTGTTACAAGGGAGTAACAAACACAAAAAAGGAGAGAAAAGGACGATATATGTTTGACAGGAAAGAAGGAGCAAACCACACCAGAGCACCCGCCAACCACCCACTTAGTGGGAGCTAAAGACAAGTATATTCACACAAAAATAATAACAATGAGATCATTTAGAAAATGAGCAGCATCAAAGTTGTCTGTCGGATCTTCTCCGGGCTCTATGACAGTGAGACATTATACATCCTGGTAGAAAAGCAGAGGCCTGCTCCAAAGTCTAAAAACATCTATTCAAATCCCATTGTAGTTTGTGAGTTTTTTGAGGAAACAGAAGCATATCGAAACAATAACAGTCATATAGTGCAGGGAAGAAGCAAGACAAACTTTTCGTTCGTTTTCGTTTTAGTAGAGGTTTTACGGCGCTCGCAACTGCATAAGGTCCTATGAGCGCCAAAAGATTAGGTGTTACAAGAGAGCAACAAACATAAAAAAGAAGATGGTGAGATAAGGATGATACACGTTCGATAGGAAAGAAGAAGCAAACCACACCAGAGCACCCGCCAACCACCCACAGACTGAAACTGATAGACAGAAACAAGAGAGGGAAAGAAAAGAAGTAGGACCGACCAGGCACCCTCCGACCACCTACAACCTTTCATTCAAACACTTATGTTTCAGTAAAAAAAGACAAAAGAATGAATACCGTGGAAAACAATGTTTTTATGTAGAAAAAAAATAAGAACACTTCGTAAAGAGCCATGTCATGAAATACGCAGAAAATCAACAGAGGACTACACTAACAGTAACAGTAAAAAAAATTCAGCTTACACTAACCACATAGCCTATATATATGTCATCAGACATACTGCACAGTATCATACAATACACAGCATCCCAACATTATGACCAAAAAAAAAAAGGAAATGTTAGAAATGTAATGCAGAATATAACAGTGTGATTGTGACTGACTGATTGCCTTGCCACATGTGTACATTACTTTGTGCATTTATATCTAATGTCCACATCAACAAGAGAACAAAGAAAAAAAAACAAGCTGCTGGAATTGCCATGTTTCCAAAACATCGGTTGATTTCTACTAGATGTAATCTTTATTTAATGATGTTATAAAATATGTTGCAATCATCAGCACTAACACAGACAACTTGCATAAAATAAAAACAATTTTTTACACACGCACACACACACACATCTCGCAATGTCACACATCACATCAAAAACAAACATAAGATGAAACATCATAAATGCCTAGCTGTCCATCATAAATGTCTAGCTGTCAACAAATTAATCATCAACCGCTAACTAACAGCTATTTTTTTATTTAACAGGAGTACAAATGAAGCGTGTAAAAATGCTGACATGCAAACATGAGCTTCAAAGCACCACTTGGAAAGCTTCTGTGTTTAAATGTGGAGGATGGATTGCAATTCATGAAAAAAATTACTCCCTTCTTTCAAAGCTTAAACCACCTGACTCCCAATAAAATGAGTTCTTGTTATCCCAAGCTGTCCCAAAATTACTTATTTTTTCAAAACTGACTAAATAACTAATGATAATATCACAAAGACCATCTGCATTAACTGGAAGGAGGCTGCTCAGGGAATGTGCAGCCTGGTCGTTGCAGGATGATGTTTGCCACACGGTGACCACTCTTCATGCACTCGTCCAAAGACTGACCTTGAACAAGCTGAGCCAGGAAGCCTGTGCAAAAATAGAAGAAAACATTGTGACTTCATGTCACACACAAAATATTTTTTTAAATAGTGCCTAAGTGAATATTTTCAGCTCAGTGGACATGCAGCCAGTGATCAGTTTCAAGACATTCTCACTTGAAAACGGGAAAACATGTATGTTCTCCTTTTGAGTGAAAGGGTTCAAACAGTATAAATGGGGCCAAAAAATTCAGATACCATTACACTATTCAATGAGAGAAATTTCCATTTTAAAAGTCTCCACAATCCAATTTTTCAGCTTTTCAAGAGCTCAGTACGGCGAGTGAGATGTTAATATCATTTACATCATATCCCACATTTTCATCACAGCTCACATAAAAAAAGGGCAATGAAGACTTTCAAACAGCTATAGTAATGAAATGGTTTATACTAGGTGTTTGTTTGCTGCTGTTTCATAATCTATAACATGTTGACATAATATTTGGCATATTTTACCCAAAAAAAAACTCTCAAAGTTGGATAACTAAATTCAAATGGCACTGCAACACAGATCAATGAGGAGAAAGGGGATATGTGGTAACTGCATCATGAGGTCACATACACCCCATCCTTGGGCTCTCAACACGTGTTTCATTGAGGCACTGTATAGTGACAATGAAAATCTAGGCGTGCTGAGTGTTGATCAACTTTAACATGTATTTTATGCATAGTGTGTCAAAACAAATCAATTTAGCCATGGCAAACTTGCAGCCAGGAGTAAAAAAAGGCACTTCAACATAAACATATTTACATTTGAGTTGAAAACCAATAGAACCGTTTGATTTTTATAAATGTGAGAGGTGCTGGGACCTGATAAAAAGATCAACTTAACCAAACATCAACTAAACCAACTTCAACACAAGTAGAGTCAACTGTACATTTCCATTCTTCCTCTTTTATATGAAAGAGTTTCTTACCTCCAACAAAAGCATCACCAGCCCCATTGGAGTCAACAATCTCAGATTCTTTGATGGGAATCACAGGGTATTCCTTAAGCTGACCATCTGTTCAAGAAAACAACAAAGTTATTGTATACATCTAGTATTCACAAAAATTAGTATAACACTTTAAAAGATCATCACTTATTACTCTCCACATAAAAAAACACTACCAAAATTTGCACCAACATAAATATACGGTAGTTTTTGTTTAACACAAAGCCATTTAACACAGAATTCCCATTGACACGAAATGATTTGTAATCCCCATTTTCGCCTTCTTTATTCTAAGCATTGCAACTTCCATTTTATCGCAATAAAAATTTCAAAAAATTCCAGCAGATATTGTTAATACAAAGGAATTTTGAGCCCTTTCATCATAATACATCCTGGCTGACCCTTCATCTCATTTTTTTACTCACAGACTCACAATAGCCTACCTATCCATGTAGACACACAACACTTTTCCAATAAAAGACCACTAACAAAGTCTTCTTTCGCATTTCTCATGCGCAGCGGGTGGTAAGAGAGTGGCTTTGTTTAGCAGGAAAGGGAGTAGAGATACTAGGAAGCTGCCAAGCGGTTCTAATTCAATGGGAATGTCTTCTTTTTTTTATATTCAGATTTCTTTAAAATGTCCAAATCAATTACAAATTTTATTATTTACTTTTGTTCTGAAACTGAGTAGTAGCATGCAAAATCATCTAGGAAACAAGTGCAACTTTCTTTGAACCTCATTTGGTATGCTCAATGCATCTGTCTGATTTTGAAAATAAGGTTTCCCTTTATTTCCATTTCTAAAAGATGGTAGCTCTGATATGTTATCAATGACTAAAAATATGTTACACAAGCCCAAACAACTCATCTTTCTTTCTTGCACGTTGATCCATTACGGTACACACCACAATTAGGTAATTAGGAAATCATTTTTAAACAAGCCACTAGTAAGAAAAGAGTCGCCTCCCCTTTTTCTTCTTTTCATTGCATTCTGCTTTACACAAATCTGTAGGACACAAAAAAGTTCTCTGGTCTCATTCAGTTTGTGTTTTCAGGGTTTTACTGTGTTAAACCATTGCCACAGCTTTAAATACAAATACACCTCGCATTGAGCTACTTTTTTTTAAATGCGTTATATAAATGTTATATATTATTATTATTATTTTTATTATGTTAAGTCACATTAGTCAACAGTAAAAGCATATCATTTTTAAAATACCAAAGCAACTAATACACCAAACTATATCAAAAATAAAATCAAGAAATTTATGGTCAAACAACTTCACACAACCTGTTGTCAGCTAAGAAATGGTCAAGGGGTAGTAAATGAGTACACATCAAATAATATGAAAGACTATTAAAAAATACAACCATGCTCATGCGTAGCTCACTACTCACGCACAAGGGTAGTCAAAAATCACATCAGTTTATCAACATAAAGTTCGGCACAAGAGAGTAAGACCTTTTTGTTGATTCGTAACTATCTCCCAACTTTTGAAACACATCTCAGGGTGAGCCGATGTAGTGTACATCTAGGAGCTGTCCCTCAGGAACCCAGCTTGTAGGCTCAGTGGGACAGAGCTCAAAATGCAAAACAGATCAATTGCTTAGTGTAGTAAGACTGCCGTACGCCAATTTTGAAAAGTGATGCATGACCGAGTCTTATACTAAGCAGTTGATCTGTCCTATGAGGTATGACAAAGCAATTTACTGTCACTGTTTTTCATACAGATTCATCAGTCTACTTACCAGCAACTACTAAGGCAGGGTCTGCTCCTTGAGTGATGACTACAGTCCTGCTCCTGGAAGAGTTCACCTTCTCCCAGTTGGCCATCTTCATGGCAATTTCTTTCCTGTCTGTGGTCTGTTTTAGAGAGAACAAAATACAATTAAAAGATCAGATCACTTTAAATGGTGAAAGGATTACGTATTCAAAATGTAAAAAGAAATTTGACCTGAAACCCAAAGAAGCAAAAACCAATTTTCAAATGAGAAACAACATCATTTTTCTCTTACAAAACCAACAATGATGCAAATTTCATTAAAAAGTCTCCAATTAACTGACGACAACAAAACAAAGGAAAAATGTCAGTAGTTATTAAGTACTTTAATATACATATGCTGTTAATCTTAAATTTGAAACCATCACTTTAATACTTTTATAATGACAAAACTATCAGCCAATCAGTCAATAAGTCACACTGTAAGTACAAGCACAACAAATTTATGACAGATTGGAGTACTCTTATTTTAACTTCCAGTACAGCAGCAGTTCTGTAAAATAGCAGACAACTACTGGATAAAATTTTTTCAATAGCTCAGAGGACAACAATGTTCAATGTTATCATCAAATCTACGACAATAGTATTATAGTTATAGTGAAAGTTAGCGGTCTTTTTTTCTTTGTTTAAAAAGAAATCCAGTTACAGGTCTCTTGAGGATGAAAAGAAGTTTTAAAAAGAAAGAAACAAGCAACAAGACATAAATACAGTCCATAGAGGCACTTGCAGATCCAACTCATTCCTTACAATTTGCACCTGATGCAGAAACCCTTTTCATCTATTATCTATTTGTTGTGGCCGAATTTTGCTATTCAAAAGGCTTTTTAATGGCTGCATCGATCGACATGCGGTTTTCGCCAAAAGATTATAATATTCTCCTTCCTTTTTTCAGTTTTGAGACAGTTTCGCTGCAAAAAGCTAAATTTCTTTATTTCGCCGATCGCTTTTGTAGGCCAACGCTTCTGTCTCTGTAATTTTAGAAAACCCGGTGCAAAAGTGATATTTTGCAAGGCGCATTTTTTTTTTGAGAGTATAGATCTAGATCTAGACATTTTAATTTTTTTTCATCTCTCAAGATTTATTGCTCCATTCCAGTAGAGGGTAAAAATAAAGCAGGCCAATGATTTTCAGTTGATGTTAATGCACCGATCATTCCTTTCATCGAAAGGGGGCCCAGCTAGTATCCATTTATACTCAAATTGAAAATGAGAACAAAAGGCAATGTGCAAAATAAGGCAAACACAACTTACCCCAAGATCATTGGCCTTTGCAAATTCATCAGCTTCCTGTAAATAATGAAAGTTAAGAATAAATTTACTTTAAAACATATGTGCAAAAAAGAGTCCAAGTATGCAAATTGTCAAAAGTCAGGTGTCTCAATCTCTCTATATAAAGAAGCTATTTGTTTCTTCATTCTGCTGTACACTACATTTGTGTATTATAAAAGCATTCTTATGTGAACGCAGAGAAAGAGAAGCCAAAAAGGCACAAACTACATTGGCTCCAGAGGCTAATGAGTACTGAGTGCAGACTCAAAGTTAATGACAAGCAAGTGTCGGTGACACTGGGTTCAGAAGAGTGGTCACTAGTGTGTCCTTGAGTGAGACACGACAACACTAGAAAAAAACTGGGCGCTGCACAGTGGCAACCAGCAATGCCATGTTTTTGAAATTGTTCAGTATTGGTGTTGTATTATATATCTATGTATGTATTTATGTATGCATTTATGTATGTATGTATTCCTAATTATGTATTTATGTATCATAATGTTTGCCATTGTAACTCAAATTTTTCCACAGGCATCAATAAAATATAATCTAATTGCTGATTCACAGCATTCTGCTAGCTTTTCCTTTAGCAAAAATTCCATTTTGAATTATGTATGATACTTACACTTTCATTGCCAAAAAAGTAGTCAGCATACGGAAGCATCCTCAACATAGCATCCTTGAAAAAAGTGCACAGGAATGGTGCAGACGTGTTCATAAGCACAACTTTGTTCTGCTCAGCTGCATATTTGGCTATCCTAACCATGGCATCAGGACAGACTGTCAGAGGATAACCCTGCAGATAGAAAAAGTTATCTGTCTTGATTACGTTGTCCAAATGAACAGATGTTAATTGTTATTTGTAACAACAATGGCAATTACTAGCTTATCAGAACTTCTGTTTTATTGCAACTACAAGTAATTGCACTGACTGAAGTTAAATCCTGTGCATTTTATATTCCCAGCAAATACAGGCTTTCATTGCAAAAGTAAATTCTAGAAGCATTTCAAGCTCAGGAATGAGGAATGAGACCCCCCCCCCCCCCCCCCCCCAAAAAAAATTCTGATTAAAACACAAACCTAATCCAATACTTCTTGTTAAAACGAATTGCAAAATAAACTGGATGCATAGTAAGAAAATAAAGCACAAAATGTCAACACTGAATGGAATAGGTTATTGAGCTTAGATGTTTGTTAAAGCAATCTGTTCCCGAAAACAAAATACTATCCTTGAGAAAAAAAAACACTAAACAAAATTTGAAAATGAAAATGTGACTGTTTACCCCAAAATAAATGAACTTGGAAGTTTCTACAGCCGCCCAATTTGATGGGTCATCAAGATGCTCCTCTGTAAAACAATTTGCAGCAGCCAGATTGGCGACCAAAGATCTGTGAATTTCCAAAAATAATTACAATAAATTCAGAAAGGCTTAAAAGCAAACATTTCACTATTTCATTTTTATCTAAAGAAATGTTTTTAACATTATAACTTATAACCATACTACAGTAACGATAACAGGAAAATTGATCTACATTGAAGAGCTCAAAAACAGAAAACAGGTTACTGTAAATATAATACTTTAGTACAAACAGGGCCAGGAATGAATGAAGCCCTAATAATAATTATGACATGTATTTTAGCCGTCTCCATGATAATTCATTCATTATGTCCCCTTATTCCTACCAAGAGGTGTGAGTCTAGCATGGCCCACTCTCAGCACAGTACAGTCCATGCCGGCTTTAAGCACGGTCATCGGGAGAAAGCATAAGCGTGCTTAATGCCGAAGCGTGCTTGAGTGCGAAGTAGACATTGTTCATAATCCTGAGATTTTTAAGTTGAACATTTCCTGAGTTATTACCCTTTGTTCGTAAGTAGTGGTCGCGCAAAAGTGTGCGCTGTCATTTTTATCCGCAATGGTAGTTCTTGTTTTTTTGTTTCATTTTGTGGTCGAATCAAAGTAGTGGAGTATATTTGGTCGAATGGGAAAGGAAAACTTAATTTAGACAGCCAGTCACGATACAGCACACTAATTTAATTTAATTTAATAATTGCATTTATATAGCGCATATCCATGCTTAAGAGCATGCTCTATGCGCTTTACAACCATTATTACCCCAGCAGACCCTCTGAGAATACTCAGAAACAATCTCGGCTTCCGCGGAAGCATACAGTGCAAGCTGTGAATTTCACGCGCTCAAACAATACCAAACTGACAAGATCGTTCACTGTCTATTGCCGGGTACCCATTTCCACCTGGGTGAAGTGAGGAAAATTTGAGCAAAGTGCCTTTCCCAAGGACACAACGTCGGGCCCCTGACGGGATTCGAACCCACGACCTTACGGTTGCGAGTCCGAGAGCCATTTCTCCTCTGAATATTTGTTCTCAGATATCGAGGACATAAAAAGCTCTCTAGGCCTAGGCTTACACACTGCCTGTGCGTACCACTGCCCGCTGTGCCGCATTCATCCCACCTCGCGCGTGACACATAATCATTTAATGGGTAGCGAGGGGGCAAAGGTGAAAACGCTCCCAGCCTCCCTTTCTCGTCACCCCGACTCTCTTTGAGTATTTTTTTTTGTCTGTATGTAGCTTTGCCCTACTAGGCTAGATCTACCCTATGTCCATGAGCGCGGCCGAGTGCATCTCTCTGCCTTCCTCTCCGTGCTCGCGTGTGTGTGTGTCTCCATCACTTGCGTTCTTTGTGTTTCTCTTAACACACTCACTGCTGCGGTGTAGACTATGTTCAAACTTCGATAGGTTATCATGAAAGTGTTGACTGTCTTGTAAAGGAAGCGTGCCTGAAGCCGAAGTTACCGTGCTTAAAGGCGTGTAATTTATATAGCAAAAATTCCGCAAGAGCCATTTGGCTTGCTTGAGTTCGAAACATGCTCTATGCCGGCGTGCTTGAAGCCGGCACGGACTGTATCAGCGTTGCACCTCATTTGACAAAATCTGATCTTATCTGTAACTAATAATTCTGGTCTTCTCCACTGGTGATTTTGTCTGATAGAAACTGTAGGCCTGACTGTATAGGATCAGGTGTTGTTTCCAAAAACTAAAAAGTCCTGGATATCTCTACAATAATGGAAAATTAAGGCTGCATTAAAAAGGTAGGTTCTATTTCGTTTCATGATGTTGAGAATTAATTCATAGAATTCAATCAAAAGAAACAGATTAAATATCATGTACAACTACAAATATATGCAAGGACTGAAAGCCTGGACTCAATCTGAAGAGTGTTAATAAACAAACTTGTCAAACCAAATATATCAATTATGAAGAAATCTTTTCACAATCGGAAAAATTTTTTTCAAAATAGTCTATGATAGAATCACATTCGGGAACCATTACCTGTTTTTGTCTGTGCACACTACAGCACATGTACCGGTAGGCTCTTTTTTTGTGTACTGGAACTTGACATCCACACCAGCAGCATTGGCTGCTTTTGTCAAGATGTCTCCAAATTCGTCGCGGGCAATACAGCCAAAGAAAGATGTAGCCTTTGGTGTTTTGAGAAGCCACTGAGTGACAAAAGAAAACAAATTTACAGGGTAATTTTTCTTTCTTGGTTACATTTAATCCAAAATGAATATCAAATGTTCCTAAAAATTATTTCACATTAACAGTAAAACCTATGTTGTAAAAGACTGAAATCTGATATTATAACAGAGATGACTTTTTTCTTTTTTTCTTGAAAAATAACAATGATTCCACCATTTTCGAGAAAGAGCAAAAAAACTACATTTTTTAAAATAAACTAATAAACTATAACACACTTTACAAAGTGTAATTCATTTAAAGCCCACAACAATTTTTAAAATTTTGTCCTGGAAATGTATGAAGTCTCCCTATGATAATTTTTTTTGCAGTATTTTAACCTCACTCTTTACCAGCTAACAACAGCTGCTGAAAAAAAGGGTTGACAACAAAAACTATATATCACACAAAAAAGTTACTGAAAAAAAAGAACCTTTATCTGCCATATTTGACCAGTTTCACATTAAAGAAAAGTATGCAGAAAGAAAAATGCCATGCAGAAATTATAGGTCCTACTCTGGGAAACAAAACCGGAAAAGACAAAAAAATTCCCCAACTTTTTGTCAAGAACAAATTTCTCGGCAATACTTCCATGAAGCATCCACATGCTGCTCCACAGGTTACCCTGTTCTTGCAAAAGTTGAAGTTGTCCTTAAAAACTAAACAAAAAGGAAAAAAAAAGGTTCAACAACAAAAAATGAGATGGTGCTCCAATTTAAAAACTATCTAGGGGGCTCTCGTGGTATAAAGGTTAAGGCGTTCGCCTCTCTATCAAAGGTCCTGGGTTCGAATCCGGAAAACGACACAAAAATTTTCTTCTCTAAAATGGTCTCCTTTCACGCTCTCCAGCATTGTTCTGTCGTCTGTTTTTTGTCTCCACTTTCTGCCCCCACCCCCTCACCATCTCCTTTGACCCCCTCCTCTGGGCTCCTGACTCGTTCAGCAGCCTTTCTACTGCCACTCCTTGGCTCCCTACTGCTGTCTTTCAGCTACATCCCTGATCTTCTGGTAGGAAAGATCTACACCTAGCCTTCTCGGATAAGGGTGAAAAATCTAGGAGGTCTCGTGTACTAGCGTACATGTTGAGCACGTTAAAGATCCCTTGGTGGTCTAAAATCGATAACAATACGTTTCGGCCACCACCCATGCAAAATTCAAAATTTCCTACAGACTGAAAAATGTTTAGTGTGTACTGCATGCTCAAATCACCTTATGCAGTTGCGAGCGCTGTTAAACACTTCCCCCAAAAAACAACCCCAAAAAAACCTATCTTCCTTCAATTTTAGCACAACAGCAGTGAAGTTTACAAAACATTTAACTCAACATTCCTTGATGAGACATTAAATCATTAAACTCATACCTGTGCAACTCTGATGGAGTTGAGAGTAGCTCCTCCTGGAATGTACTCTACATCTGGGAAGGTGTCTGCCATTTCTTTGTACCTGGAAGAAAATGTAATATCAAATGTTTGTCCTCAAACAGATTTGTGAAATTAAAGCGAAAATTAATAATAATAATAATAATAAATTGAATTTATATAGCGCATTTCCACAAAGAAGTGCTCAATGCGCTGTACAATACAGTGGAACTCGGATTCAACGAGAACTCGAATTCAACGAGATGAGATAGATTCCCCGTTTTTCTTCTTCTTTAAAATCAATAAAAATAACCCGGATTCAACGAGCACTTAAATCAGCGAGTTCGGATTCAACGAGATCGCTTCCAGGATGAACAGCCCCCGCAGACGTGGCCTCGCTCATTGCACCTGCATCGTGAACCGTTATTCATTTAGCCGATGGCAAGCGACCAATCAGTGGCCTTTTTTCATACCAACACATGCTTTGTCGGCACACGCACGTGTCTCCTCTGGCGTGTGTTGGGGTCGGATGGGCGGCCTGCACACGTGTGACACATTGATGAATTCACACAGTCATAAATTCTTACAGAACAGAACAGCATGAACAAATGATATTGAGAGAACATAAAGATACTGAGAGAACAAAACAATATTTGTATTGGGAATGTCGAAAATTACAGATTGAAGCTGGACTGAAACAAATGCGTTTTAAGTGCTGATTTAAATTTTGATAAAGTGGTGGACTCCCGTAGATGAGCTGATCTCTATTTATTTCTTTTTTGAAAAGTTTTCATCGCCATTATTATTCACGGTGGCCGTACTCCAGAAGTTTAGAGAAACAACATTCAGCAACTGTTAAGAAGACACTTGTACAAGTAATTCATACACATGATTACATGGGAGAGTGTCAAAAAAGTTGTACTTGCATTGGTTTATGCTTGTCCTCCGCAAGGATAGCATTGTCAGCCTTCAGATCATACCTGAAATGGGAAAGGAAATATCCACGGTAAAAAAGGGGATAAATCAAGGTGGTACAAGAACATCAGAAATCAGAACTCCATCAAATTTGCCCAGAGTATATTATAAAGCATTATTTTTAAAATTCTAATTTTTTTTTTGTAATGTGTATTGCGGTGGTCGCAACTGCATAAGGTCATATGAGCGCGCAGGACACATTAAAACATTTTTCAGTTTGTAGGAAATTTTGAATTTTGCCCTGGTGGCGGCCGAAGCCCACTGTTATCGATTTTGGACCACCAAGGGATCTTTAATGTGCGCAACTTGCAAACAGGACCTCCAAGATTTTTCTCCCTTATCCGGGAGGGCTAGGTGTTTGATCTTACCTACCATAAGATCAGGGGTGTGGCTGAAAGACAGCAGTAAGAAGGAGCCAAGGAGTAACAGCTGAAAGGCTGCAGAAAGAGTCAGAAGCCAAGAGGAGGGGCAAAGGAGGTGAGGGGGAAGGGGCAGAAAGTGGATACAAAAGCAGACGACAGAACATTGTCAGGGAGCAGGAAAGGAGGTAAAAGGAGAAAAATTAAGAGAAGAAAATTTTCCATCGCGGTCCAGATTCGAACTTGGGACCTACTGAATGAGAGGCGAACACCGTAATCTCTCCATCATGAGAGCTCCATTAAGTCGCTAAGCTGCAGCTACTCACAAAATGTTCAAGATTGTGTATACAAATTATGATCTACAGAAAAGGAAGTTTAAAAAAAAAAGAAAAATGATTTCTTTCTCGAGTATTTCACCATTCTCGTTTAAAAACAAAGGTCCAGGTGATCATCCACTATACCTCTAACTTACTCTAAGAATCATAAGGAACTTACTTATCAAGGTAATCCTTTGAAGCTTGGACAGAGATATCCAGCAGTGGGTTGCCATATCCCAAGAGAATTCCTGTTCTGAAAAATAAAAACACACTTGTAAACATTATATTTTTTTCTTCAAATCGCAAACAAAACATTAATTAATCAATAAGTTAGAACAAAACAGGGACTTAAACTCTTAGTCTAAGTGCAAGAGTGGGTGTAGGCCTGTCAAAAAAAACAACACACCTTATCATGATCAATAAATAGGCTATTATTAGAGAAGAAACTGTCGCTCATACGACCTTATGCAGTTGCGAGCGCCGTTAAACCTCTACTAAAACTAAAAACTAAAGAGAAGAAACTTAAAACTGAAATCCTTAGCCTTATTAGCTGGAAAGAACTGAGTGCAAGAGCTGGAGAGACACAAGAAGAGGCAACAAAGTGCAGCAATCACTTCAATAAATATTTTCTGGCACAGTGATCTCTTACAATTTAAGTTAACATCAGCTCGAAACAATGTTCACCATTCACATATAAAAAAATATCTGACAATATAATATTTTGAGATACTACCAGTGTCTCAAGAGTGGTTCAATATCTAGATTCTATCACTTGTAATGAACTGAAATTATTAACTTGTCTCTCCCTTGGATCACACATTCTTGAGTACTGTGTTGTTATTTTCCAAAAAAAGAAAACAATATCAGAGACTGGAAATCTAACACTGAAAATATTAAGTACCGGTAGGCTACTAGACCTAGATTCTAGATCTAGATCTAGAATATAAGATATCTAACTGTTGAGACTGAGTAGAAATAAAAAGATTAGAACAAACTCAAAGTGAAAATATACCAAACTTTTGATGTGGTGGTGATATAAGTTTTGGGGTGCGACATGAGAAGAGGGGGGGGGGGGCAATAATGAAAAGAGGGATGGAGGTGCTGAAATTAAAATCTACAGGTGCAACTGTTCAGCTTGTAGTGAAACTTACTGAACCATGGTTGTGCTATCTGTACAGAGCAGAGTTCTGGGCTTCTACTTCTACCGGCGTTCTAACTGAGAGGACACATCAACCGCTCTCTCGTGCCTTTATAATGTTCCTACTCTGGCTCAGTCCATTGCCCCATCCCCAGAGGGGGGAAAGCTCCACAGTGATATCCATGGGGCCATAAAATGCAATATATAAGAAGGGTTCATAAAAATACCAGACTGTTAACTGCAAACAAGATATCGTATATTGTTTATAATCCCACCACAGGTCATACTTTACCAGCAATAAGCCTATTCATTTGAACATTTAATTGAACACTTCAGAATCACAAACATGACACCCATGATCTAGAATGGGAATGCTGTGAGCACTATGACCTCTAGAAAATCGGCTGGCCTAAAAAAATCAACTTTTGACCTACTTTCCATAAGCCTATCTAAATCCCAAGCAAACTATACTTCCCATCAACAAAACATGCTAATATACAGCCCAGCAATAGCCCTAAACAACAGGGACACCCCCTATAGGCCTTGGCTAGGGAGTGATAATGAGCCGCCCCATGTATTTGCTTGCCGAGGCTAACCTCCAGCGTGAAAATTCAGAGCTCGCATCTAAAATCAAAAGAGCATTCTAAACCCACCACCAATCGAGACCTCCAAAGCAGCATGGCGTTTTTTTCTTGTTCAAATAAAAGAGAACAACGCTGATACTTTGTGAGTGATAGTTGTAGACTTCCAACTTTACTCGCTACAGTAGCAAGAACCCCATTAAAAAATAAATATTTACATCAGGTGATAAAAGGGTTAACCATAGGAGAGCATGTTTTCCACCAACATCAGACCCGACCGGCGAAATGCAAAAACCCGCTTCCCACCACCGCCACCTCTGTCGTCGTTGGGTAGATCTAAATCTACATTAGGCCCTAGCCTAGGCCAAGATTCTACATGCAACAACTTACAAATCTTGCTTCAGCTTCTTTTCTGGCTCCTCTTGTCCATTATCGCAAGAACCTGACTCCGACTTTCCCTCGGACGCACGCTTCCTTGTAAATGGGTCCATTGTTTTATTGTCGTCGCGTTGTCTGAGTTGACCACAGCAGAAGCGGGGGCAAAGGAAGGAAGCAGGAAGAAAAGGACTTTTTACTTTTTTAGAGAGGAGTCAGGAGAGAGAAAATAACGATCGGAAAGCGAAAAACGAGTTGCCTACTGTGATAAATTCAACGTGACTGGAACGATCTTCTTACTTCTCAACGAACAATCAGAGACCGAAGTGGAACAGTGAAGGAGATAGAGCGCTAGTTCTAAACTCCTTGGGAACAGTCCAACGTTTGCCGGTTTGCGCGAGCGCGCTAGTCACAATTCTCATTCTGTCCCCGTGGTTTTATGCACCCTGCATAATTTAGCAAAAGTTGATCATTTTTTTGCATAATTTCTGAATATTTTCTTTTATCATTCTTTGTTAAAATGGACAGAATCGCATAATTTCACATTTTTGGACTCAGTTTGCATAATTTCAGAATTATTTTTTTTGCATAAAACCGCGGGGACATACACTTCTCAGCGTAGGGACAGAGCACCGAATTATACACTCAGAGTGTAGAATTCTGTGGGGCAGAATCACAGATAGGGGCTCTCGTGGTCAAAAGGTAAGGTGTTTGCCTCTCATTACACAAGTCGTGGGTTCGAATCCGGAAAACTACGGCAAAATGTTCTTGTCTAATTTTTTCTCCTTTCACATCCTTTCCTGCTCTCTAACTCTAACAATTAGTCTATCGTCTGCTTTCGTCCCTCACCTCTTTTGCCCCCTCCTCCTGGCTCCTGGCTCTTTCTGCAGCCTTTCTACCGCTTCACCTTGGCTCCTTCTTACTGCTGTCTTTCAGCCACAACCCGGCACCCCGGATCTTATGGTAAGAAAGATCTACACCTAGCCTTCTTGGACCAGGCCAGGTGAAAAATCTCGGAGGTCCCGTGTGCAAGTTGCGCACGTTAAAGATCCCTTGGTGATCCAAAATCGATAAGAGTAGGCTTCGGCCGTCACCCGGGCAAAATTCAAAACTTCTTACCAACTGAAAATTTTTAACGTGTCCCGCGCGCTCATATGACCTTATGCCTTATGCCGTTGCGACCACCGTAAAACACTTTTTTTTTAAATGGACTCATGGATCTCTTGACTCTGGGATTCGATGAAACACAAATTAATAAGAAACAGTACATGTACCATATATAATACGGAGAAAATCTGAGCATAACTCTTTTAATACCCCCCCCCCCCCCTGTTCAGCAAAACTCTAATACGTGAGTGATGCATGTAACAGACTACATGTACAGATGTACCACCATAACATACCCATGCCGCCTTCCCATGTGCATGTCTTCAACTTCAATTGACCTATTTGAATCTGCTTTGAAAAAAAAAAGACAGAGCGATTACGACAATGAGTCACATCTACTCCGTGCCGATAATTGGATTGTGAACGTCATCGTCTCTGACTCTGAGCAATAAATGCAAATTAAGCAAGATTCAGCCAAATGAACCAGGCAATTATCTCTACTAAAAGGAAGAAATTGGTGGAACGCTACATCTTACCCATGTTCCTTTAAATGGCACGGAGACCTGGGCTTTCAGTAACAAAGAAAGAAGAAAACAAACATATCTGCGTTTGAGATGTAGTGTTACCGCATAGTCAGCATAAGCAGCCCATAGAAAGCAAACGAGAGTAAGAATGAATATGAGATATAGGCCTATTTCAGATTCTCCACACAAGACAAACCCTTTTTTTTTTAAAGTATGTTGTTTTACAGCGCTCGCAACTGCAAAATGTCATATGAAGACAAACCCTGCTCAACAAAATGAAAAGTAGAAAGGTACAACACTTAAATCATATAAAAAGCCTCCGGACCATTATGACGAAGGCAAGAAATGTTGCCAAAGGGCCTCTAACTCAGACCCAGAGATGACACCTCCAGAATCAGTATCTCTTGGATCAGGTCATGCACACCGAGAGAGAGAGAGAGAGAGAGAGAGAGAGAGAGAGAGAGGGAGAGGGAGAGAGAGA